GGATCAATGACGTCCAAACGTCACGTGAGATTGGGGAATCCCTAGAATAAGGTTGCCAATCAACCTGCGAATAAATACACCAAAATATTTCTTTTCGGAGCCGACGAAAAATGCGTTTACTATTATTTTGCATTATGCTGTCCATTGACAAATAATCTGAGAGCGAGCGGCTCAATGCATGTAGAACCAGGAGCCTAATTAGGCTCTATAAGACTATAAAAAGGCGACAAGATTCAGGTATCTTTAGTTTGTGTTACATCGCGTGACCTATGCTAAAATTCCACACTGTAAATGGTTCTATTGACTTAGCGTACAAACGTTCACGAGAACCTAAGCCATTGTCCCAAAAGAGCAAAAACATTGCAACATTACAAGAGTGTCCAGTAAAGTCTCAGGAAATGAGGGAGGCGGGGCTCAGGCCGGTATATGGCCACACATAGAGAGAGGTCATGGTTTTTGGCACTCTAGTTTGGATCAAGACAATCAGGGTATATGACAGACCCTTCCACTGTTTCCTCATGATATGTCAAAAACGAGCAAAGATACAGCCTGCAACTTTCGGAAAGTTTACAGACAAGTATCTTGTTTTGTCCTATATGGCGGGGACACAAATCCCCCCCCCCCTCCCCCCTCTGAATAAAAAGGCCGGAAAAATGTTACGCCCGCATGCTTGGTAGGCGCAAAAGGCGGAGGGGAGGGAGTGGAAAACGAAAAAGCAGAAGGGTAAAGGGTGAGGGCCCTTTCCTCTCTCCTCGGTTCCCTCTCCGTTTCTCTCTTCCTTCCCTACCCCTAGGGTTAAGGGATTTGTTCCCCTTCACTCGGAAATAATCTCTTGCGTGAGGAGGAGACAAGGCACTAAACCAAAGCTTTTTGTCTTTGCAGGGTTGTCACGGTTTGGACTTTTTGTTCTGACGAGATAAAAAAAAAAATAGTAAAACAACAAACAAACAAATAAACAAAAAGTTCTCCTTTATTATTTCAAAGGTAGATTTACTAGGTTGGAGTTGACATACGATAATTCCCAGCATTTCCGACAGTGCGGATTTTTTCTGGAGTGGAATATTTTGAAACCATCTTTTTCAAGCCATTTAACTATATCATAAGATTGTCTAAGAGCTTCGGTAGTGTTTGATATGTGATATTCGACATTCAACTGTCTCACGTGACTTTTCAGAGTTCCATCCTTTAGCATATGACGTAAGCACTTCCATTCATCAGACTCGATGTCCATTTTCAAAATGTCAATTTCTCCCTGTCGAAAAAAAGGGTAGTAAAGATCGAAGAAGAATTCATTCTTACAAGCAGCAATGTATTTCGGTGACAAATTCTCCGATCAAATAACAAGAGCTATCCCTGAAGAGCTACGACTACAAAACTGGGATAACCATTTATTTTTTGAGTAAAAGGGACAAAGATGCGTGAAATAACAGGTTATTAAAATTAAACACATTTTTTATTTTTCTCCAAACTGAACGAGCTTCTTGTTGTTGTAAATGATTCCTTTCAAATAAAAAAGTATTTTTGAGAAAAATGAGGCCAACAAGTTCGCAGATAGCTTGAGAAAACAGCCAACATTTCGCGGGGCGCCACCACTTCCCCGCAAAATGACGTCTGAGAAACGAGCGCAGAAATTCTATACTGATGACGTGTCACTACCCAGATCTGGGTAGGGCTTCTGATCGGTAGAAGTAAATTTCACTAGCAGCACGACCAATCAGCAGGCTCGATTACCAGCCGCTGTTCGGGAAAATGAGCCCTCGGGAGGATCAAAGACCGGACCCGGGAGACGGCGGAAATCGAGCCTACCAGTCAGAAGCACTACTTAGATCTGGGTAGTGAAGCGTCATCAGAATGGAATTGCTGCGCTTGTTCCTCGGAGGTCAATGTCTGCTGATTTCTCAGGCTAGTCCGTAATTGAGACTAAGATTTATTCTAGTGGCCTTAGCAGAGCTCCAAAAAGCTGGTAAAAATTATCCAACTGGTCGGTAAAGGTTTACTGAAAATTGCAGCTGTTCTGGTCTTACGGAAAGCCGAATCAGATCCTCAGGTTCGTGCATTCATAAGGAGAAGTAACAAATCGTAGTGGGCGGATTATACGAATCAGTTTTTTCCATAAGGTAGGAAGAGCTCTAGTGAACTTGAGCAAATCACGGACTAGAAGTCGTTTCCGGAACGTTTGTGACTCTTGTATGACCTTTATTTTTAAAAAGCGACTTCAGCGCTGAAGAATTAAGGCGATTTCGCCCCCTACAACCGTATTACAGATGCTCCCCAGCACACTACTACAGGGAACTTTTTCTCCACCTACGGGGGCCCAGACCAAGGGTGGCGATGGTGATTTCTTCCCCTAAAAGCATCAAAGATGCTCCCACACTACTTTAAAAGATGCCCCTCGCCCCTGCCCCGGTAAAGGCGCGGGCCCAAGGGCTGGCAGTGTGAGATGATCGTCCAGTTTTAATTGCACCCATAAGTGTCAGAAAATAGTTGCATTTGCTGATTAAGCGATCCTAAAATGAAAGCGAGATTGAAGAAATTGAATTACCTTGAAATGTCCGAGTTCAAGCATGATAGTCCTAAATGTTCTTGTTTTCCATTTCATTTTATCAAACTTGTGCCATGGCCGAGGATGTCGAGGTCTCTCTTGATCAACGTCGGACAGACCAAGGTTGTAAAACATCACTCCGGGGCTATGTCTGTGGTCTTCTTTATCCATTGTAGGATCAAACGAGAACACGTTACAACCGTACCTCGCCATCTTTTCATCAAACGAAAAGTCATTACCAATCCTATAAGAAGCAGTAAATAATGCAGTAAAATTGGAAAGTAATGCGTGAGGAATTAACGGATTCATTATCGTAAAACAAATAAAGAAGCCTTGACTGTGCTTGGTTCTGTTGTAAAGCAGCTTCGGAAGCGGCTACAGCGGAACTCAAGAATTAAGACGTGGACGAGTGTTTCTCCCAACTTCTTTCGTGCTGTAGCCGCTCCTAATGGTTTTACAACAGAACAGAGCACAGTCAAGGGTTTTTTATTTGTTAATTAGAAGCAATATAAGCGCCGCATTGTTGCTGCAGCCAGTTGACGCTAATTCGGGGGTGGCGATAATTTGGCGCCGGCCGTCTTTGGAGCACTAGATGTGGTAGTTGATATAGCGTTTACTTTCTTGACTTTGAATTCGTTTGGTTCTTGAACTAGGATGCAACTGGACAAAATTGAGAGGGGAAAATGTGGAAAACAACAGGCCATTTCTGAGTTTGAAAAACTCTCACTTTTAAGACGAGGCTAAATGCAAACCTTTTTTGTGAAAGCATGAAAATTAAGAGTAATTTTCATATCAATCGCGCGCTTCTCACTTAGCCTCGCTTTAAAAAAAGAGGCTCGGGACAACTCGAAACGGCCAAAAATCACTAACCCAAATGAGTAAACAACACATGATCCCGGATTTAGCTGAACTTGCTCGTCAAAACAGACGTACCACATGCCATCGGGGCCAAAAGAACCGGCGGCCCGACTAGGCATTTTTGTCAGTCCCCCTATGCGACGTAGATCGGAGCATACCGTCCCCGGAGTTGAAATACTCTTTATAACTCTTTCTCTTTCTTGCCCAGTGGACGATTCCTCGGAAGGGCTGGTGTCTAATGGCGTGACGTTTGTGTTGTAGATCGTAACAACCATGGTCACCACAATTATACTACCCACAATCCATAGAGGTCGTTGATTCATTCTGCAGCGGTAATTACAAACATACATCAAAATGAACTCGTGCAATGTTGTTGGCCTTTGAGCATGAATAATTTATTTTATTTCTCGCAAATTGCATTCGAAATCACATGATAGCCTATATTAACAGGGAGCTTTAGCATCGACGACGGCAACGGCAGCGAAAACGTCACTTTAAAAATGAATTCGCGTTTTCAAACTTTATCGCTTTTATTCCAATTTGCTGAAAATGGCAAATGTAGGCGAATTTGGAGTTGATCTCTTGAGGAGCGTACTCACTTTTAGAGAGAGAAAAAGAAATGCGTCGTCGCTTGTTTACGTCCTCCATAAAACTTGAATTAGGCTTTTTCACGTCGTAGTCGTGCAAGGACGGTAAATAAATGTACAAAAAAGCGTGATGCACGTGCAAAGTTGTTGTTTTGCGTAATAAACCTATTGCTTTTTTGACGTCTTTGTTGCCGTCGCCGTCGTCGTTGCTAAAGCTCCCTAATAGCGGAACTCCACACGCGCCCGAAGCTCGCGTAAGCGGAGCCCTGGTTGTCTATCCATCCGAGAAATTTTGGTAGTCATGTGACCGTAAGTCTGTCCGTCCGTCGGCACCACAGGGAAACCAATGTGAAGTCTCTCACACTTTCTAGCTACTGTCAGAGACTGCAATCTTATATTGCACATCGGTGTTGTGGTCAATTGTCAGCTGTCAAAACAGGGTATCCGCGGACCAGTATAACAGGACAGGTTATGGGCTCCTGCATAGGACTTTATCTTGGGTTCAGATGTCGACTCTTCGAGGTTACGGGCCTTTTATTGAGTTATCCGCTGATAATTTACTAGCTTTCAACTGATCGTAGGCTCAACTCCAAGCGGATATTTTTGAAATGGTTTCAAGTTTATTGTTTGAAGTAATTACAAATTTATCAACGGGAGCTTCGTCTTCAGCCTTGGCTAAATCTAGCTATTATCATCCTACCATGACATTTTAGCATTTACCAAATCAGAGTCTCTAGGCGCTCTGGGTGCAGTGATTGTTCGGGGCGGCGCTTATTCGATTGCGGGCTCTAATTTTCTTGCATCACAACTTAACACTGAGCTCCATTGCTATTTGTTCCTAAGGCGGCGTTTTGTAATTTTACTTGTTTAGAATTTGTATTTTATAGCCTTCAGTTTTCAAGGTTAAACTGGAGTTATTCTTCTTGTCACTGAAATCTTGCAGTAGAGGATTTAATATTTTCTCATGACTAGCTATTGTATGTGGTCGGGACTTTTAGGTAGCATGTTGTTTTTCTAACTGACTCGGTACTGACTCAGCTGATGGCAAAAGGTTGCATTATACACTCTGTCTTGAATACCTCGACAAAAATTAAAGTAAATTCGATTTCTCAGCCACAGACTTTGCAAAAACCGCATTGTTATAATCATTTTATAGAATTCCTATACTAGCTATTGTAAACCTGGTATCCTCATTCAGTTCATGACTCAGCTCCTAATCAGGTTCCTAAGATGGGTCTTCACTTAGGTTCCCAACTCGAAAAATTGCACCCTTCTTGCATGGTTTAGTTTTTTTCTTAACTGTAGAGGACTTGTTATTGTTGTTTTTGCCAGCTATCTATATCCATATACGAAAATAATGGCTTTTATTGACCATGATTAAAAACAGGATGTGCGTCATATGTTGTTGTTGTTATTGTTATTGTTGGTATACTCTATAGTTCGCAGCAACAGGATAGTTCGTACCATAACTATTGATTTGTTACATGATTTATAGCAATTTTCTGGTTAGCGATAAGAGTTTCTTATGTCTTTACATTTTCGCTGTTTCGCAATATGCCCGATCGTCGGCAGGATGAAAAGACCTGGTCTTTTATTCCGATCATTTGATTGGCGAAGCAGGGACCCACCCTAATGATTATAAAATAAAACTCTAAATCAGAGTAAAAGATAATTACCTTTGTCTCGAAATTGTCAAAAACAACATTAAGATTTGGTCATAGCTGTTTGTAAGAGATAAGGCTATTACCTGTTTTTGGTTGTTTCAAAATCAGAGTAAAATGGCAACATTTTCAAGACTCGAAAAGATAAGCGAGGAACTATCAGAAAAAGAGGTTGAGAGGTTCTGTGATGGAGTTCATGAACTGAGCCTTTGTGACATCCAGATTGCGACTGAAGGATATTCTATGAGCGAAAACCAAAAGACAGAGGAAAAAGACCAGCCTCTAAGCAGTGATGGAAATCCCAACGATGTGAAACAAAACTGGAGCAATCCACAACAAGAGCACCATTCTAGTACCGACGATAGCCTAATTCACTCTCACCCTTCACAGCGCCGAAGGAAGATCAGTGTCGTTGAAGCAAGTGATGCAGTCTTTGCTGAACGAAGAAACATCAGAGTTTTCCATAAGAAATTTGGAGAAAGTATGCTGTCTGAAAATTCGAGGATTTTCAACAAAAAATTATAGAATTTTTTAACTGTATATATGATTTCGCTCTGATATTTGTTACAGTAACACTCACTGTTTGCCGTAAAGAATAAACAACCTTATATGAATTTAGAGGAAATCATTGTTTTAAGATCCAACAGTGTTGGACCAAGAAGTGTTTTATAGCCATTTCATTATTTGTCCCTTGTGCCTGAATTAACAGTGTATCCAAAGCTGTTGAGATTTTTAAAATATCATAAAAATTCTGTAGCGAGCGGCGAAGACACGTGAGTCACGTGCACGAACTGAGGATTGCGGATTTTCATTGATTTTCAATGATTGCTGGTAACTGTCAACTGAGAAAACTAAGGCCTTTTTAACTATCCTACGAAAAAACTATTTTCTGCTAGTCGATCATAGCAAAGGTCATGTCAGGAATCTTTTCCAAGTCAAGCCTGAATTTTTTTCAGGTTGTTTTTCCGCATAGGTTGTTTTTGCTTCTGCGAAGATCAGGTTTGAAAATTGCCGACAATTTTTCTGTAGAATGTCCGAAATCAATTAATACGCGACTCGCCCATTCGAGTTTTTAGTCAAGAATGTGTTTTAAACAGTCAGCCGAGAACAGTACGGCATTTCTACTATCCTCCTGAAAAAAGTATTTTCCCAGTTGGTCTGGGAGAATTCTTCAATGATAGTGAAATGGCAGGTGTACAAAACACGCGTGCGTGACGCGCGAGATCAGTTGCGCGCGTGTCTAACCGACTGGTATTCTAGCTAAAGCAGGATTCCGAATAATATACTGCACGCTGGATTTATCATAATTGATACAATGGCTGTATTCTTTATTGCATCCCTGAAATGACTAAAATATATCTTCTCTCACATGAGAAAAAAAACCCTAGTTGTACGTCACATCAGGTTGTAGACAAGACAAACAGAATACTGAAGGTGCTTTTAACTGGGGGTGGCTAATGTGCGAGCCTGTGAGCGGGAGCCTCTTCTGACAAGCCGGAGCCATTTTTTGCTATCCCTAAGAGTTTCCCACCGAAAACATCCAAATATGGACATAATGCCTTTTTATGGTCTTGATTAATCCGGTCTATATAATGTGTTCTGCAAAGTGCAAACATTATAGAATCAGGGAAAGAGGGTGGTGAGTTTTCTCTTATTTTTAACAGTTTATAGTTGTGTGCTTTTAAAAAGTAAATTACGCAATGCAAGCACTGACGAACGAACATTTTGCACATTTTGCTGTTGAATTATCAGATTTGAGAGATTTTAATCATGGCTTCAGCGCTCTAGTTGTTCTGTGCCGTGGTGACTGCTTAGCTAAGCTTTGACCATATACAGATACCCGCGTCGGGGATCGAAAATTGTAGAATTGAATTCTTGTCTTGTCACATTTTACTTCCTCAAATCCAACTTTCTGGAGGTTTTGAGCTAACACCTCAAAACTTCACCCTTGCAGTCCTTCCTTTTAGACGAATTAAAAAGTTTTGTTTTGCTCAAAAATTGTCCAGAAAGGCAAAACTTGCTCGAGGCTGCAAAAAGTTGCTCCACACGCCAAAAGTTGCTCAAGTTGCCGAGCACAATCGGGACAGGCCTTATTGCACATGATTGTGGTCATTTGACAGCTTTCAAAAGAGTTTATCCGCTGAAGGTACCCAGATGTTGACCCATCCAGGTTACTGTTCTTCTAAAGTTTCTGCTGAAACGTTTCTAGTTTTTAACTAATCGCAGTCTCAACTCTAAGTTGATTTTTTTTGCAATTGTTACAAGTTTATTTTTTGAAGTAAATTACGAATTTATCTACCGGGGAGCTTCACCTTTAGCTTAGCTAAATCTATACATTATCACCCATACCGCGTGGCATCTTAGAATTTACCAATTAACCTTTGGGCGCCCTTGAATTGTTTGATGTCTACATAGTCTGAAACTGACGTTTACAATTCACCCAATCCAGTGTACTGGAGTGCTAGGAACAGCGACATGCTGTCAAATCTTGAAAAAAGGAAAGGTTTAATAAGTAACGGCACACAGTTGGCAATGAAGTTTCCGCATTAGCGAGGTTAACTTTGTACAAGAATCTGTTGATTGGGCAAGAAACAATTGTCCGCTGTCCGTAAAATCGAGGTGTTCGCATTAAGCGAGTGTTCGTTAAGCTGGCTTTGACTGTATCATCTAACACAGAGGTCTATTGCTATTTGTTCCTAAGGCGGCGTTTTGTAATTTTACTTCTTAGAATTGGTATTTTTCAGCCGTCAGTTTTCTAGGTTAGAAGTTATTCTTGTTGTCGATCATTGAAATCTTGCAGGAGGGGATTATTTTCTATTGCACGTGATAGGGATTTTTAGTTAGCTTGTCGCACTTACTGAGTCAGTTAGGAGAAAGGTAGCATTACACGCTGTCTTGTATACCTCAACAATAATTAAGTAACCGGCTTCGATTTTTTAGCCAAAGACTTTGCAAAAACGTTATTATTATAATCATTGTTTAGAATCCTGTCTTTTATTCCTATAGCTATTGTGGACTGGTATCTTCATCCAGTTCCTAATCAGGTCCCTATTAAACTTGGGTCTTACAGTACCCAACTCGATAAATTGGACCTTTTTTGCACGGTTTAGTGTTATTTAGTATTGTTGTTTTTGCCAGCTATCTATATCTGTATACGAAAATGGCTTTTATTGACTAAGCTTAAAAACATGACGTGCGTCATATATTGTTGTTGTTGTTGTTATTGTTGTTGACGAATTCTAGTTCGCAGCAACTCGATCGTTTAGTATTATTAATTGTTAAATGTACATATAGCAATTTTCTGGTTAGCGACAGATATATATCTCAGCAATAAACGTTTTTCTTGCCTTTACATTTATCTTGAACTCCGGTAAAAAAAAAACTAACCCGTGCACAATATTCCCGGTCTGAGAACTAATGAAAAGACCTGGTCATTTATTGCTGTCATCTGATTGGCGAGTCGGGGCCCGCCCTGGTCGGAATAAAAATAAAATTTCAACTCAAATTAAAAGACAAATACCTTTGCCGCGAAACTGCCAGGAAAAACTAACGTAGACTAGGATTCTGGACATAGCTGTTTGTAAGAGATAACGCTATTACTTTGTTTTAATTGTTTTAAAATCAGAGTAAAATGGCAACTTTTTCAATACTCGAAAAGATAAGCGAGGAACTACCAGAAAGAGCTGTGGAGAGCGTTTGCGAAGGAGCTGAAGCATTGAGCCTCTGTGACATCCAGATTGTGACTGAAGGATATTCTAAGATCGAAAACCAAAATGAGAAAGAGGAAAAAGACCAGCCTCTAAGCAGTGATGGAAATCCCGACGATGCGCAACAAAACTGGAGCACCCCACAACAAGAGCACCGTTCTAGTACCGACGGCAACCTAATCCACTCTGACGCTTTACAACGCCGAAGGAAGATCAGTGTTGTTGAATCAAGTGATGCCGTCTTTGCTGAAAGGAGAAACATTAGAGTTTTCCATAAGAAATTTGGCGAAAGTATGCTGTCTGAAAATTCGAGGATTTTCAACAAAAAATTATAGAATGTGTTTTTTGTATATGATTTCGCTCTGATCACTGTTGGCCATAAAGAATAAATAAACCGATATGAGTTTAGAGGAAATCATTGTTTTAAGATTGTTGGACCAAAAAGTGTTTTATAGCCATTTCATTATTTATCCCTTGCCTGAATTAACAGTGTATCCAAAGCCGTTGAGATTTTTAAAATATCATAAAAATTCTGTAGCGAGCGGCGAAGACACGTGAGTCACGTGCATGAACTGAGGATAGAGGATTTTCATTGATTTTCAATGATGGCTGGTAACTGTCAACTGAGAAAACTAAGGCCTTTTTTACTATCCTCCTGAAAAAACTATTTCCCCAGTCGGTCTGCTAGAAGTCTTCAAAGATAGTGGAATGGCAGGCGTATAAAACACGCGTGCGAGACGCGCGAGACCAGTGGGCGCTTGGCTACTTTTGCTGTTCTCTCGCGAGAAAAGAAAAATAAAGGGCCGGCTTGCACTCTAGCTAGAGTACGATTCAAAATAATATACTACACGGTTGGTGTGTCATGATTTATACAGTGGCTGTATTGTTCATTACATCAATGAAATGACTAGAAGATATCTTCTCTTCCATGAGAAAAAAAGCCTAGTTGCAACATCAAGTTGTAAACATTTTTTATCAAGACAAATAGAATACGGATACTTTGATCTGGCCTACTCCTTTCCTGGGCAGCAGCATTGAACCAGGAACCCCGAGGGATCGACTGACGTTCAATTCTTTTTAATCTCGGGTTTTGACTGCAGCCAAGAGAATATCTCTTCTCTGCTGAAAACCATACATTGTGATTTTTCTTCTGGTCACTGTCGCTCAGGCAGTAGTACTTATTTGATGCCTCTATTTAGCGATTTGTTGATAATTTTTATGTTTTGAGTCTTAATAGGTCCCGCTAGTAACTGTGGTCACAATGTGGTTCATCTCCTCCTAAATGTGTTTGTAAGGGATAAGGCTATTACTTGTTCAGTTTTTATTGTTTTAAAATCAGAGGTAAAATGGTAACTTCTTCAAGATTCGAAAAGATAAGCGGAGAACTACCAGAATAAGCGGTTGAGAGCATTTGTGATGGAGTTCAAGCATTGAGCCGCTGTGACATGCAGATTGATATACTCAGACGGATATCAGTTCTACGTGGGAAAACCAAAAGACAGAGGAAAAAGAACAGAGTCCGATCGGTGATGGTTATCCAATAATGCGAAGCAAAACTGGAGCAATCCACAACATGAGCACCATACTAGTAGGGACGCCAGCCTAACTCACTCTTATCTTTCACAGCCTCGAAAGAAGATCAGTGTTGTTGAGTCAAGTGATGCGGTCTATGCTGAGCGGAGAAGAATCATAGTTTTTCATAAGAAATTTGGCGAAAGTATACTCTCTGAAAATCAAGGGTTTTCATTAAAAATCTATAAAAGATTTTTTGTATATATTTTCGCTAAAGCTTGTTAGTAACATTGTTGGCCATAAAAAATAAATAACCTAAAATGAATTTACGAAAAATTACTCCGCTAGCTTTGAAGATTAAATTGAAATATATGAAATGAGCCATATTTGAACTGGGGATAAAGATATGAAAGACAGTGAAAATGATCTTCCCAGAGAAATAAACAACCTAAGCGGTTGAAAAATAACTTGAAAACAATTTTATTCAGGCCAAAATTTCCGCCACGGCATGCAGGGTTCCGCGGTATATTACGAACTCACGATGACTTGCTTGCCAGTTGACTTGATTAGCTCAATGGATAAAGCGATGTATCCGGTCATAGCAAAGGTCATCGGTCAGGGATCGTTTGCAGGTGTAGCCTGAACTTTTTTCAGGTTGTTTTTCTACTTTGGTTGTTTATTCTTCTGCGAAGATCATGTTTGAAGATTGCCGACAATTTTTCAGTATAGAATGCCCGAAATCAAATTAATACGCGACTGGCCCGTTCGAGTTTTTTGGACAAATATGTGTTTTAAACAGTCTGTCGAGAAAGGTACGGCATTTCTACTATTCTCCTGAAAAAACTATTTTCCCAGTTGGTCTGGGAGAATTCTTCAATGATAGTGGAATAGCAGGTGTACAAAACACGCGTGCGTGACGCGCGAGACCAGTTGCGCGCGTGGCTACTGTTTCTTTTTTTCGCGCAAAACGAAAAAAAAAGGACCGGCTTGTATTCTAGCTAGAGCAGGATTCAAAATAATTTACTGTACGCTTGGCGGATCATACAAAGGCTGTATTCTTCATTGCATGCATCCCTGAAATGACTAGAAGATATCTTCTCTCACATGAGAGAAAAAAACCTAGTTGTACGTAGCATCAAGTTGTAGACAAGACAAACAGAATACTAAGAGCACCAAGGGTGCTTTTAACTGGGGGTGGCCCATGTGCGAGCCTGCGAGCCGGAGCCTCTTCGGTCGAGCCGGAGCCATTTTTTGCGAGCCCCTAGAGCTTCCCGCCAGAAACATCCAAATATGGACATAGTGCCTTTTTTTTGGTCTTGATTAATACGGTCTATACGTGTTCTGCAAAGTGAAAAGTGAAAGAGGGTGGTGAGTTTTCTCTTATTTTTAACAGTTTATAGTTGTGTGCTTTTAAAAAGTAAATTACGCAATGCAAGCACTGAAGAACTAAAATTTTGCACATTTTGCTATTGAATTATCAGATTTGAGAGACTTTAATCATGGCTTCACGCTCTAGTTGTTCTGTGCCGTGGCGACTGTCTAACTAAGCTTTGACCTTGTACAAATACCTGCGTCGCGGATCAAAAATTCTAGACTTGAATGCTTCTCTTGTCACATTTTACCTCCTCAAATCCAACTTTCTAGAGGTTTTGAGCTAACACTTCAAAACTTCGCCCTAGCAGTCCTTGCTTTTAGACGGATTAAAAAGATTTGTGTTGCTCAAAAATTGCTCAGGAAGGCAAAACTTGCTCGAGGTTGCTAAAACTGCACAGAGTTGCTCAAATTTGCCGAGCACAATTGGGCAAGCCTAACTGCACATCCATGACAGCTTTTAAAAGAGTATATCAGCTGTAGGGACCCAGATGTCGACCCATCGAGGTTACTGGTCTTTTCTGATTGAGTTTCTGCTGAAACGTTTCTAGTTTTCAACTGATTGCAGGCTCAAGTCCAAGTTGATTGTTTTGCAATGGTTAGAAGTTTATTGTTTGTCTATGAAGTAAATTACATATTCATCTACGGGAGCTTCACCTTTAGCCTTGGCTAAGTCTATACATTATCACCCATACCGTGACATTTTAGCATTTACCAATTAACCTTAAGGCGCGCTTGAATTGTTTGATGCCTACATAGTCTGAAACTGACGTTTACAATTCCAACTCAGTCCGGTGTACTGTAGTGCTAGAAACAGCGACATGCTGTCAAATCTTGAAAAAAGGTAAGGTTTAATAAGTAACGGTACACAGTTGGTAATGAAGTGTCCGCATTAGCGAGGTTAACTTTGTACAAGAATCTGTTGATTGGGCAAGAAACTGAATTGTCCGCTATCCGCACTAACGGGCTGTCCGCATTAAGCGGGTTGAACTTAGAAAAAATTTAAGGGCTTTCTCCAGGGACATAGCATTAGCGAGGCTAACTTTGCATAAGAATCTGCTGATTGGGCAAGAAACAATTGTCCGCTGTCCGTAAAAAGGAGGTGTCCGCACTAAAGCGAGTGTTCGTTGAGCGGGCTTTGACTGTATCATCTAACACAGAGCTCTATTCCTACTTATTCCTAAGGAGGCGTTTTGTAATTTTACTTCTTAGAATTGGTTTTTTTTAGCCGTCAGTTTTCTTGGTTAAAAGTTATTCTTCTTGTCAATCATTGAAATCTTGCAGGAGAAGATTATTTTCTATCACATGTGGTCGGGATTTTTAGGTAGCTTGTCGCAATTACTGACTCAGTACGGAGAAAGGTAGCATTACACGCTGTCTTGTATACCTCAACAATAATTAAGTAACCGGCTTCGATCTTTTAGCCAAAGACTTTGCAAAAACGGTATTATTATAATCATTGTTTAGAATCCTGTCTTTTATTCCTATGGCTATTGTAGACTGGTATCCCTTTTCAGTTCATAATGGAGCTCCCAATCAGGTCCCTAACTTGGGTCTTACGGTACACAACTCGAAAAATTGGACCTTTCTTGCACGGTTTAGTGTTTATCTATAGAGGCTTTGTCAGTATTGTTGTTTTTGCCAGCTATCTATATCTGTATACGAAAATGGCTTTTATTGACTAAGCTTAAAAACAGGACGTGCGTCATATATTGTTGTTGTTGTTACTGTTGTTGACATATTCTAGTTCGCAGCAACTCGATCGCACTGTAATTTTCAGGGAGTTATAATAACTCCTCTAGTGGGGCTAATTTAACTCCTTACAGTGGAGTTATTTTTCGTGGAGTTATTTTAACTCCAAAAAGGAGTTTAAAGAACTCTTTTTCAGGAGTAAAAGTGACCCCAGATATTGAGGAGTTAAAATAACCCCAAAAAAGGAGTTATCCTGTACCTAAAATTTTTACTCCACTTTCAGAGTTAAATTAATTCCAAAAAGAGTAAAAACAACCCCTGTAAGGAGTACAAGTAACCCCATTTCGGAGTAATTTTAACCGCCAAGACTGGGAGTAAAAAGAACTCTTTTTCAGGAGTAAAAATGACCCCAAATTCGGAGTTAAATTGGGAGTTAAAATAACCCCAAAAAAGGGGTTATCCTGTACCTAAAATTTTTACTCCATTTTTGGAGTTATAATAACTCCCTAAAAATTACGGTGCGTTTAGTACCATTAATTGTTAAATGTATATAATAATTTTCTGGTTAGCGACGGATATATACCTCAGCAATAAAAGTTTTTCTTGCCTTTACATTTATCTTGAACTCCGGTAAAAAAAAAAAAGAAACCCGTGCACAATATCCGCGGTCTGAGAACTAATGAGAAGACCTGGTCTTTTATTGCTGTCAAATGATTGGCCAGTCGGGGCCCGCCCTGGTCGGAATAAAAATAAAATTTCAACTCAGATTAAAAGACAAATACCTTCGCCGCGAAATTGCCAAGAACAACTAACGTAGACTAGGATTCTGGACATAGCTGTTTGCAAGAGAAAAGGCTATTACTTTGTCTTAATTGTTTTAAAATCAGAGTAAAATGGCAACTTTTTCAATACTCGAAAAGATAAGTGAGGAACTACCAGAAAGAGCTGTGGAGAGCGTTTGCGAAGGAGCTGAAGCATTGAGCCTCTGTGACATTCAGTTTGATACTGAAGGATATTCTAAGATCGAAAACCAAAATGAGAAAGATGAAAAAGACCAGCCTCTAAGCAGTGATGGAAATCCCAACGATACAAAACAAAACTGGAGCACTCCACAAAATGAGCACCATTCTAGTACCGACGGCAGCCTCACTCACTCACACCCTTCACAGCGCTTAAGGAAGATCAGTGTTGTTGAATCAAGTGATGCAGTCTTTGCTGAACGGAGAAACATTAGAGTTTTCCATAAGAAATTTGGTGAAAGTATGCTGTCTGAAAATTCGAAGATTTTCAACAAAAAATTATAGAATGTGTTAATTTGTATATGATTTTGCTCTGATATTTGTAAAGGTAGCACTGTTGGCCATAAAGAATAAATAACCTAATATGAATTTACTGGAAATTACTGTTTGAAGATTGCCGACAATTTTTCCGCAGAATGTCCGAAATCAATCAATAACGACTCTTCCATCCGAGTATTTTGGACCAAGAAGTGTTTTATAGCCATTTCATTATTATTTCCTTGCCTGAATTAACAGTGCACTCAAAGCTGTTGAGATGTTCGTTTAAAATATCATTCTTTAGGGGCGGCGAAGGCACGTGAGTCACGTGCATAAACTGAGGATAGAGCCGGGATTTTCATTGATTTTCAGTGATGGCTGGTAACTGTCAACTGAGAAAACTAAGGCCTGTTTTACTATCCTTCTGAAAAAAATATTTTCCCTGTCGGTCTGCGAGAAATCTTCAACGATAGTCAGTATGGCAGGCGTACAAAACACGCGTGCGAGACGCGCGAGGTTAGTTGTGTGCATGGTCCTCCATTTTTTCCTCTCGAGCGAAGAGGGAAATCTCAGGGTGCCTGTGGCTAACTCGTGGAGTTATTATTTTAGAAATGAAAGCTGATAATGAACTTGCAATTAGTCTACCGGTGTATTTTAAGTCTGTCAAAAATGAAAATATATGTTAAGAAAAAACAAAACCGGTAAAACGACCAAAAAAAGTTTCCTTTGTAGGGAGTCGAACCCCGGACCTTCAGTGGATGAGGTCGGCGCATTATCTATTGCTCCACGACAACTAAAACCTCATGAAATTCTGCTGGTGGACGCTGTTTGAAGCTGGTAGAGCGAGTTTATTTATGAAGAATTGAAAGATATATTTGAGGTTTTGTCGGTAAAAGCGGTACTTCAACTCATTTGAAGAACATATGGCCGACAAGCAAACGTAAAGCGATATTAAGTGTCTCGCAATAACCCTCGCGAAGTCTCTAGCTGACGGCAATCAATTACGATTCAAAAACAGTAAACATTTCCGCTTTTATTCAGCCGAAGAAATGTTTCATTTCAGAATGATGTTTTTTTAAAATCCATGAGATTGGGAGTCTTGTCGTGAGAAAAGTTAAAAAATCGTGGGACTCACGGCAGAATCGAGAGAATCGTGAGCTTGGACCAGCTTGAAGGGGACTCAAAGTGCAATTGCTGATCCCTTCGTCATGTTTATCGCCTGGACGAGTCAAAAAGCTTCAAAAGTGCATAAACGTCTGTCTCAAAGTTGGCCATAGTGCTAATTTGAAACATTAAAAGTCCCCATGTAAACAACTTGTATTCCTGTAAAAGGTACAAAATCATAACGAAGCTCTGGGCACAATGCACGTTCAGCACTTCTTGATCGCGGAACGGGAAAGATCGATCTACGACGGTAGTCGTTTTGATATCGGGCGCTTTCGTGCAGAGCCGACTAATTACGAACGGCGTCTAAACCTGGTGACACATTTGCATATCGGAGTGCCCACAATGACTCGTTCCTTACCCTACGCGTTATCCACGAGTTAAAAGGGGCCGACTTGTACTCTAGTAAGAGTAGGATTCAAAATGATATACTATACGCTTGGAATAACATGATTTATACAATGGCTGTATTGTTAATTGCATCCATGGGATGTGACTAAAGGACTGAACATCTCAGTTCTCTTGCATGAGAAAAATCCTAATTGTAACATTCAGATCTAAGTAGGCTTAGCTGCCGCATTGAGCTAAGAACTCCGAAGCATCGACTGACATTTGTTTTTTTCATATACAACATCTTTGGCTCGATCGGCTGTAAAACGTTAAACAAACATACCTGCGTACCCTTAAAAATCCTATTGGTCAATACATTAAAAGCTATACTGAGACTATGAAAGTCATGAAGGTACGTGGTCTTGACAGTAGAGCAGTGACGTATGTAATTCTAGCAGGAATGTTTGGTACTCGTTAACTTTTTTAGTTTATACCCTGATTGACCCCAAGGTCCTTTTCTTCCTGCCAGCCTTCCTGTCAGCCATCTTTCTGTGACTATGCCAGTTAGCTTAAAATACGTTTCTTACCTCATTCCATTTCTCCACTGGTGAGCTGAGTTCTTCAGCGCCACTAAATTGGCCCACTTGTGTTCGTGGCGGTTTATGTACTTGAAAAAGTACGTTTATTTAGACGAACGGAATAAACAATCAGAATACTTAATCTTTTGATTAGTGAATAGATTGGAACAAACTATTCATTTGAATAAATATATTCATCTCAATTGTTTAGTTCAGTTTATCCTATTGAAGGGCAATAACAAGCAAACAAGCTTTTAAAAATTCAGAAGCGTTAAGACTACACCCCTTCATTAACAGGTATTTCGCGCATCTGTTCGAAGTTGTCAAATTTGTTGCACCGTTTGTCTTAGAACCTGCGTCTTTTTGACAGGCTTTTGTTGTTGTTGTCCTTTGTTTTGTTTGTTTGTTTGTTTCAGAAGAAGGGGCATATAGAGGGAGTGCATGATCGTAGGCTTTCTAGACGATAACATTGTTATGATTGTTGCTTGGAACTATATTTTGTTAGCCTGCGTAGCTGGCAGTTTTGTTTGTCGAGCGCGCAAATGAGCGGCGAAGGCCGATTCGCAATTCCCTTTGAACGGCTCCCTAGAGAAGTATCTGAACTAAATTCTTAGCGACAAAACAAACCAAAGCCGTTTAAAAATACTTTTTAAAGACAATAAAAACTTTAAAAACCTGTTGCAAGACATTTCCATCTTGAAAAGGTAGACATTGCCAACAGTTTCAACGACCAATCAGACCAATGGATTCCGATCCAATGGAAAAATGGGCGTTAATAGGAGTTCGCCGCTTTTTTTCCAAGTAAAAATTGTAAGAAGCTTAAAAACGGAAAGAAACAAAGAAAGAAAGGAAAAGAAAAGAAAGAAGTCAAATAATTAAAAAACTTGCTAAGTTCGCGATTTCAGCCTGAATGGATAGAAATTGAGGAGGATTGAAATTGCGCCTGTCGATCAAATGTCATGAAATGTCTGTAAAATGTCTAATATCACGATGTCACCTAGCCTGCAAGAGCCTCCGGTTTTTTCGGCTCAAGTTTCTAGTTTTACCCTCCGAGAAAAACCTGCGGTTGAAACTAGAAACTTGAGCCGAAAAAACCGGATACTCTCGCAGGCTAGATGTCACCAGAATTTCAATAAATTTAAAATCACTTGAAGTGACTAGAAATAATCTAGATGTGAAAGACTGAAGCGTTAACTATTTTTGTATATTTCTTGGTCCTTAACGAAGAAAAAAACAGCAAGGAAACAAGAAAGAAAAGCTAACAGAATCATTACACTTGACGGTGAAAATGGCAAGAAGGTCGAATTATAACATTGATCTCAGAAAACTTCGCATATATAAAACAAAATCCCTGCCGAAACCACAAAGCGGCTCTAAATTAAAAACCTACCGACTCTCCGCAATGATTACTTCTTTGGCAGTTCAATTTAGCATCGAAGACAAGGACAATTTTGCTGTTTACGACAAAGATTATCAAAATGTTTGAACTCCACGCAAGCAATCCGCTGAATTATCAAGCGACAATCCCGCTAAAATTTCTCATAATTAGACATAATTATGCGAATGTTTAGACAATCAACCAATCAAAATCACTACCCGGTTTCCGGGTATTGACGTCACTGGACGGCATTAACGACCGGTCGATTCAGACGTTGCCGAGAAGAGAAAACGACTAAAAGCAATCGGACGAAATTCAGGCTACTTAAATCTATGACTGTAATTTCCTTTACAAAAAGGTTCATGGAACTTCTTAGCCTCTTAATCAATTGGTTACTCCCATTGGCTGTTTCAGGGTCACGTGGTAGGAACCAGGATTCATAATCGATTACGGCTAAATTTAACTGTATCCCCATAATAGCCCATATGCATAGATGACGTCAGACGTGCTTATTTTTATACCACCAAGGTTCGTTTGGGTACTAAATTCTTTGCATTTCCTCTGTTTGCCCGTGAAAATTCTTTATTCAACTTAACTGCACTGGGAACAGGCCATTTCCGAGTTCCAAAAACTCTCACTTTCAAAACTAGGCGAAATGTAAAACCTTTTTTTATGAAAATAAGTTTTATTTGCATGAGTATTGAAAATCATTTTCATAGCATTGGCTTCGCACTTAGCCTCGCTTTGAAACAGAGGCTTGAGACAAAAAGGATAGGCCTGGCGCTTACACCGTTGCTGTAATTTTTTCTTGCTTTGAGATTTTATACAACACGGGTGAACTTTCGAGCAGGTAATTAGAGATTTATTTGGTGTTTCTGTATTTGCTGGATGCACTGAGCCACAATGTTTCAAGGACTATCACGAAACGAAAAGAACATTCCCTGTCATTCCCTAAGAGCTTGACATAAACCAAGAGAAAATTACTGCACTCCTGACTATCTTTAGCTTCTTTCCTGCGTATAGTTACAAGCTTTTCCTCCCCTAGTTTCTCTTGCTCCACGACTTTGGAAATCATGTTCTCTCTTGGATTGGAGTCAGCCGCCTCAGGTATCCTAAAGATTTTGAGAGTTGAATATTTGCAACGTTTTGTTGTCGTATCCTTACATTTTTGTTTCTGGAAATTCTCTCTGAATGCCGTCATTAAAAGTTTTTCTTCTTTGCTAAAATCGGTTGTTCGGCCGGATTTAGAGACCATATTGAGTCACAACTTCCAACAGTGAATTAAATGTGCATACACACAACTCCAAAGACCACTATGCACAGACGATACATTTCCTTGTGAGACATTGTTTAGCCATTGAATGGTAAAAACACGGCTCAGTCAGGTTTTAATAATGTATTTCTAAGATGGTTTAACCGTTGCTTATCGAGACAACGTCTAAACAGCGGCATGGCCTTAAACACGGTTAACTTAGACTTCGTTTTAATAATCGGCCCATACGGTTTAAGGGCTTTTTCAGTCATTGCTCCTGTACTAAGGAACGATCTGCCTATTGATTAGATCGATCGATGATCATGATGTAAATAAGTTTGAATCAAAATTGTGAAGACCTTTCTTTTTAAGCGAGTTTACGAACTATCTCATGTTTTTATCTTGCTGGTTTTTGTGACTACATAAGGATTATATGTAAATGATTGTGAGATTTTTATTTTTTATCCGGACAGTATTGTAAAGCGCTTAGCACTGAAAAGTATAGGCGCTTTATAAATATTATTATTCGCTTAAATCTGGCCAGATATATGTACAAAATTATTTCTCTGAGCTTTTTAATAAATAAGTTATATTTGCTTTATTTTTGAAAGCTTATAGTATATTATATTTAGCGTTTTTAAAACTGAATTTCTTTTACTTGCAGCTTACGAAAATCAATTTAATATTTTTAAAAACTTTTTGCAGAACGTGTCTGCTGGGAAGGGGGAGGGGTACAAGGAAAAAAAGAAAAAAAGGAATTTTATCTTCTTGAAAAAACAAATGAGATAAGCTGCCTAACTAAAGTCGCAAAGAAGAGATTTGAAGTTGGAAAGTGTCAGATGAAATTGAGGAAAATAAAAGGTATAAACTGAAATACATAAAAATCTTGCTGACTTCAAACTTTTTTTGGATCCGGGACTATGAAAGCGCACAGGGTGGTTAATTCAAAGGCAAGTTGACTAGATTGGAGTTTATATACGACATTTCCCAACATTCTGGGCAGTATGGGTTTCTTCTAGAATGGAATATTTTAAATCCTTGTCTTTCAAGCCATTTAGCTGTACTGTAGTATCCTCTTAGAGCTTCTGGTGTCCTCACGATCACGTGATATTCCACATTAAGCTGTCTCACGTAATTTTTTAAGGTTCCGTCTGCCAGCATATGACGTAAGCACCTCCATTCGTTTGATTCGATATCCATCTTTAGAATGTCAATTTCTCTCTACCGGAAAAGAGAATAAGTATAAAAAGTATAAATTAAAAGTGAATTGTTTACCCGCAAAGACCTTCATGTACAAAAGTTCTTAAAACGAGTATTTGTGCGTTTCAGATCGAATAGGAAATTAGAGACTAGCGCTGGATTTAAAACATATATATATTGCAGCCGAAGGACAAGCACCAAATGAAAAAACACAACTCACGCATGGGCACTGGGCACCATCGAACCCAGGCCACTTTATAGATGACAGCTGAGTGCGACCTCCGAGTCTTTTAGCACGAGATGTACAATTGGCTAACGAATTAATAGAAGTGATGAAAGTCCAAACAATTTCTCTAGACTTAAAAACAGTAGCAGGTGCGTTTTCAAAGACCAGTGAAAGTAGCGTCCGTAATAGCGAGGCTCGCGCAAGCCCGAGGTGAAAGTTGACTTAGTCTCCTTCGCAGCAATCTCGTTCCAGAGGCTGCGATTCTTTCGGTCAGCACACAGAGGATCGCTGGACGAGGTTAAAGAAGGTTCTGGGAACGATTGCCATTGCAACCGCTCGGGTCGGAGTCACGCAATGCTGCTGTAAGTGGATTACTAGCTGACTGCCCGATTGACTGATTGACTGACTGATTGCCGAGACGGGTTTCAAGTGATATGGTTTCAGATTAGCTGCCGTTTAAGTATATCGAAGGAGATCAATTTCGGTTTTTGGGAAACTGCCCACCTACTCCTCCCCTAAGCCAACATTTTTCCCTAAGTGAGAAGTAAGTGATGATGTTGGCTTAGGGGAGGGGTAGGTGGGCAGTTTCCCAGAAACCTAAATTGATCCATATAGAACAGGGTGATTGTAACGCTAGAGGTCAGTTTAAGAAAACCCAGGGATACGTCCTGCATCTGCATGAATTTTCTTAAGAACGATGTTTATTCAGTCAATGCGGCTCAAGTCAAGGCTCGGAAGACAACATCCGAGTACTCCCGATAGGTTTGGAACCCCACCAGTCCAGATGCTCTACCACTGAGCTACAGGAAACTCGTGGAAGCTGAGGCCACTACACTAGGTTCATGTGACAAACATCCTACACACTGCTGCCACTGGAATGTCGATAGAGCGATTTTCGTATGACTTTGAAGAATGGTTTCGATAAGTGTTCGTTATTTGTTTTATCAGCCAATGGATGAAAAGATCAAAACATGGACTCTTCGTTTTCCCGACAAAGAAAACCCTAATATGGAGAAGACATTGTTGAATTGGCCAATAGTGTTGCAGTATGACGTTAAGGCGAAGTATCGATTGCTTTTTGGAAAGTTCTCGGGCATGAAGTTTTTTCACCCGCGCGTTCGCTTAACCAACCAAAACCCACGCGAGGTTTGTATCCATGATGAACCACTCAAATGTCTCTTTTTCCGTTCGTTTGTTGTTTCTGTTTCGTTCGAGAGTTTTCATTTCAAGGTCATACGAAAATCGCTCTATTTGCTTATGTGCAATGATAGAAATGTGCTGTTTTTCGCTGATAAATTAGAAACTTACCGCATTTCCTCGAATAATAGCCGGGGTTGATTATTTCTTTTTTCGCACAAAAAGGAGGCGATGATTATTTCAAATATTACTCACTGGAAGTCAAATAAACTGAACATGGGCTTTTTAAGCGTTCCTAATTTAGTTCCTTGATTAATTTTCAGGGCTTGAATCGTCACCGATCAGTTTTGCTGGATCTCATTGCACTTCAACTTGACAGGGAGGGGATAAAAGGAAGAAGATTGCGAGAGGGGCGGGGGAGGGGCGGTTATTTGACGGAGGCGATTGATCGAGGGACGGCTATTATTCGAGGAAATGCGATATTCAGTAGTATTTTTTCACCTTAGAATGTCCCAGTTCCTTGATGATCGACGCCAGGGTTCTAGTTTTCCATGTGCGTTTATCGAGCTTGTTTGAAACATTTTCAGTTCCTTCTTGATCAACATCCGACAGTCCAAGATTGTAGAACATGACTCTCGCGCTATGATTGTGATCTTCTCTCCCCATTGTAGGGTCAAAAGCAAACACGTTACAACCATGATTTGCCATCTTCTCGTCAAACGAAAAATCATCACCCGTCCTTTCAGGGATAAAAATCGTTAAATACGTTGGTTACAAAGTTAAAAGCTATCATTGATTGAAACGTTGAAGCCCAACTAACTTAATAGGCCGTTTCCGAGTTTCACAAGCGGCTCACCTTCAAAATGAGGCCTTTTCAAGTGAATAATGTTATAATTTTCTATGGTGTAACCAGGAGCCCATAACCCGGAGCGAGCAAGTCCCATACGAGGCCTATGTCACGGCGTTTTTATGGACCAGTATATTTTTAGACATATTTTAGGGTACTTTTTTCCGCGAAAATAGAACCTTCACCATGTCAAAGAGCGCATTCGAAGTATAAGATATCAAAAAAGAAAACTAAACGTTATTAAAAGTTAAAAAATATCATTTTCAGGTCTGTAGGTTTTGCTGACTGGTTTGTGGAATTTAGAAGATATTCAAAATTCGTGCCAAAACCGTTTTAAAAATAAAGTGGTCCATGACTACGCCGTGACACGAGCTCCGGGTTATGGGCTCCTAGTGTAACCTCATACCCCAAAGGCTTCGCACTTACCCTCGTCTTGAGAGAGATGCAACTCGGAAATGGTTTGTTGTTTGACCTGCATGACAGACGTTCGAAAGGGGAAGGAAATTTTCGCGAGGGAGAAACGCTGGGGACGAAGGTGGGCGAAGGGGAAGGTTCCCCTCCTGCCCGGTGTCACAGTGATATGGGCATCACTAGTTTTGGGCATCCCCATTACCTAAATCCTAGTGAAGTGGGCATCCCCTGTAACCCTAACACTAACCCGAACCCAAATCGCTAAGGTAATATGAGAAGAGAATACCCATATCACTAGGGTTTTGGGAATGGGGATTCACATATCACTGTAACACTGGCGCGCACTTGTGTGGCCAATTCTGGCCCCCCCACTTTCCCTTTTAAGCGTCTGCTACGACGGCTAGTTGATTTGACCACGACAACTCGAAACAATAAATTCAGCCGGTCTTTTCACGAGTTTACCCAGGCTCATTACAGCTGTGTATAACGTAATCAGCCTCCCTACCTTCATAGTATGATCGCTACTAGCGACGACAAGCGTCTGTAGTCGATAGCTATAAGAGCCCCCAGACTAAGTTACTCTAAAATGTTTAAGTGCGCACTATAAGTGACATTTGACAAACATTACGCGCGCTTTCGTCTTACTGATTCAAGGAGGTTACGCAGATTTTTAACTAAAATTCGTCAATTTAATCTTCAAACAGCTATTTATCATTTGCGTTGCACAGTTTTAATGGAGAATACTTTTAAATACAGGCCGGTGACCTCTTTTTCCTGATATTTGCTTGTGGAATCCATGCGCTGCGTAAGAAATTCTTCTACATTTCATGAGCCCTTTTTGAATTTCTGACAACTATCCCCCCCTCGTGAGCAAGTTACGTTACCTACTCTAGCTAGGCTCAGTTTCTAGCCGCAAGTGTGTGAGTGCGTCCGCGATTCTCCTCACACAAGTGGGGAGAAGCATAGGCGCATTGACATACCTACGACTAGAAACTGAGCCCAGCTACGAAGGTTTCTTACCCGATAGAGTAAACAACACATGTACCCGGAATTAATTGGACTTCCTCGTCAAAACAGATATACCACATGCCATCAGGACCAAACGGACGAGGGGCCCCATGTGGACCCCTTGGCAAGCCCCCTATTCGGCGTTGATCCGAGCAAACCGCCCCCTGGGTTGAAAGAGCCCTCATGAGCCTTTTCATTTCATTTGCAGCGGGAGGTTCGTCGACATATGTAAATATGCTCGGTGTTGGAGCCCTTTCTGTTCGATTTAGGGAGGGCGTGGCAGCGGTAGTTTGAATTTTCTTGTTTTCTGGTGGTGGCTGAACTGGTTCTTCCTTTGATTCTGTATATTGAAAATAGTTTGCTATGAAAAATACCCTTGATCATCAACCCAATGCTCCGTCATAAAGGTGACGATTATGGTTGAATAGTTGGATTTGTTAACTGTGAGCACCCTGTTACTTCAAAGTCAACTTCCGCCCCATTGCTGAAAAGACATGAGGGCGAGGCTGCTTCAAGGTTAGTGTAGTAGCACGTACAACACGCGAGCGGGGAGCTTTTTAGAAGAGTGAGCGCTCTAGGTCGTGCGCGTGGTTCCATATTTATTTTCTTGCGCGTGCGTTTCGCTCCACGGATGAAAAGTGAGGCAGCTCGTAGTCTAGTAATTTGTCAGACTTGTACAACTTCGATGTATTTTATAGAAATCAGCCCTGAATGACAGCTACAAACATTGAACAAGCGATCTTAACTTTTTCCACAATTTACATATTTTGGTTTATACAGGTAGGGTCTAAATGGAGTTCATTATTTCTAAGGTAGAATAAAGAGTTGTAGCCGATATCTTTTTGTTGGCTATACGATCATGTTGCTTTTCCAAAGACAGAGAAATGTCTTCAAAAGTGAAACTTTATCTGTCTGAGCAAAGCTTTAGATTATTCTCTCTTGGTAGCAAATCATCTAAAACTAGGCATCGTGATCGATAGAGTAATAGAAGGCATTTGGAGCAGAAGAAGATAAACAGTAAACATACCCGTGGTTTCTTCATAGTTTCGTTTTGTCCAATAAATCTCCTCGTTCAAAAACAGTTTAGCCTAAAAAAAGATTTTTTAAATTTGATGAGCAACTCGGAAAATAAATTATGTCCCTATCATCGGAGGATATTAGGCAGACACATTAATTTTTAATCATACCAAAGTCATTTACATTTTAGCTATAAATACTCGATTAAACTCTTTCCCCCGCCCTTCCCAAGCGCACGTTTGACGCTGGGGTCTATTGGGTGGGGCCTGTTGTGAGCGGAGGTGATAACAAGATGGGATTATCTTCTATGAGTACGAAATCATGTGGAAAAACACAACACCATTACTAGTCGCAGTGGGATAAATAAACAAACTAGATTTTCACTCCCATATACTTCCTCTTGAATTGATATGTTGTACGAAGGGTTTGACTGTCCTGCGGGTATAGGAATGTCACTAGTTTTATAAGCATTATAATTAAGATTGAATAGATATGGATTGTGCCTAATTAATATGTCTTTTGGGAGTGTGAAATGAAAGGAAAGGGGATTAATTACTCCCTTTCTCTGGCGGGTTAATAGAGGGCCAAGAGCCGGCTCATCAAAGAAGAGGAGCTTAAGAAAAACCTACAGTTTTATGCAAATGACCCTTGTAGCGAAGTGTTATGGAACCAATCATTTATTGGCCCTCTGTTTTCAATAAGGAGGACATTAAACATGCATTCATCCTCTCGTCGAAGAGAAAACCTGGACACGAGCAACGGCTCAGCCTATTCCCTGGATTCCCTGGTTATTCCCACGACACGTTCCGCACGTTCTTAAACACCCTCGTTCCCAGGGTCTTTTTTTCATATACCAATTTCAGGCATTGAAGCATAGGCTACCAACTCCGCGGTGGTATTACGCATAAGCACAGCGATATCACCAGGGTAGTGACAGCCATGGACAGCTGATCTCATTGGCATTGTTTAATTTGTTTTCGCCTGGAGTTATGCCATGCTGATAGCCTGTTTCAGGTTCTCAGATACTAAGGGATGACGCGTAAGTGTAACGAGCACGCAAAAATGTAAGCGCGTGATCTGGAAAAAGGGCGCACCTCCCGTTCTATTTTCGCGTACGTTCGGGCTTTTTCCATTCGCGGACCCAACTATCTCGAAGCCTGGAACAGGCTATGCTGATGAGTCCTAGGTTTCTCCTTTGCTGCAATAATTTATCAAGAGATAATCATTATGAATCCAGTACTGTTCTTCATTAGGAGAGGACAGGAACAAACTACAACAGAGGTTTAGCATCACGATTACGTCAAACGGCAAACGTGAATTTAATGAATAATAATAATAATTTTATTTATATAGCGCTAAAATCCAATAATTGTCCAAAGCGCTAAAAAGCGCTAATTTGTACCACGTGACCAAGTTTCCCCTTTCTGTCTTTTACTGTTCATTATTTCTACACATAAACAAGTGGTTTCAGGCAATTTTTTATCCATAAGAATTGTTTTGAGCTGTTTTTATCTCATTTTCTATTTTGAGAAATTCTTCAAGTTGAATCTGACGTTTGCCATTTGCCGTGCACGTGAAGCTTAAGGCGGAACCCATCAGGAAATTGAGTAATTTTAATTTTCAGTGGACAAAAACCTTGTAGCAGAATAATTTAAAGAATATTGCATTCTTCAAGGGCTGAAGATATAATTAGCCATCTGTAATAAATTTCTCATGGGAGCCCGAGAAAATGAATGTTAAATTTCACAAAATTACTTCTTACACATGAAATTTTCAGAATTTTACCTGTGTTTTCACACTTCTTGTGAAATTTGACATTACATCTTCAGTCCTTGACAAATGTAAAGAAGAATGCAATATGCTTTAAATTATTCTGGTACAAGGTGTTTGTTCACTGAATATCAAAATTACTCAATTTCCTAGTGGATTCCATCTTAAACTCTCCACTTACCATCTTAGGGGCAGGGGTCAGCAGCATAATCACCACTGCAGTTGTGACTGCTACGAAGCCCACAATCCAACGGCGTCGTCGGGAATATCGATCAAAGAACATTTTATAACCCCTGTAACCCTGCTGACATAGATGGAAGCTGTTAGCAAGCTTTAAAGCTTTTAAGGGTATCGCTTTCACCGTAAAATCAACCCAACAGGTCAACCTCGGTATGCACGTGCGAACGTTTTACTTTCAGTAAGGATTCCTTGAAAGAACATCTTAAGGTCTTCTTTTGCTTAAGAAATCGACCGCCTTTTGATCAAAAGAACACAACTCACAGAAAATAACTAAGAAATTGCCTCAGAACAGACTTTCTAGTACTATTCAATGATCTTTAGTGGGTTAGTAAAACTGACTTTAATTAAAAGCCTAAATCGTAACTGGGTTTAAGGAGTAAGAAGTACAGGCCAATGCAGCACGATCAACGAAAGTGAATTTAATATAAGATTTCTAAAGTACATCTACTTGGTCCGCACATGGCACCCGTGACAAAACTGGAATCTGTCTTTTCATAAAGACCCCTCAAGCGCTTGCTAATGGCTTGATCTCGCCGACATTTTTTTAAATTTTGATTTATTCTTTTGTTGCTGAGTAAAACAGCAGGTCGCCTCGAAAATAAACCAAAAAACACGACCTGCATATAGCCAAGATATCTGAATACGTCTTGAAACCTTTTATAGGGTCACTTACCTTAATTCCCACACGAGTCTCTAATGTGCATCCAGGGTGTATGACTACTTTTCATTTCATTGTTCAGCGAGCTGCGAGCAATTCCTGAAGCACTCAGAGTCCAGAGTCGTTTTTGATAGCAGCTTTTAATGCTCTTCAATTTTCCTTTTGGTGCTCTAAGAAATTTCTTTTGACATATAATGTTAAAATCGAAAATTTCTTCTTTCCTGAGTTAGTTATACCACGATTAAAAGCTGAGATGTGGGATTAAGAAAAATAATTTGACTGAATCAAATCTTTCAGGCATCCATGTGCCAGCGGTACTAAACTGCCAACAGGTTTCTTTAATTACACCGGTGTTTGAATACACAATGTGGAAAAACACCAGCAAACATTACCAGAAGTTTTTGTTCCAGTGAGATTCAGGCCTCGCCGGCGGGTCCGACTTTCGCGTGGGAAGGGCAGATATAATCTTTACTCTTTTAATGTGTTTGTTGGTTTGTCTGATTGCTCTCTAAATGTATTATACCGTTTTTATTATTATTCCATAATTCCATGTAAGCGTCCATGCATTTTAATATCAGTACAAGCAACCTACCAATTCTTTTACAAGGACTACAATTGAGTCGATTCGCCAATTCACTACATTGATATATACATAAAATAAATTTCGCGGAATTTTTTTGTCAAAAGAAAAAAATAACGCGCTGTCACATAGGTGAAGCCGAGTATGATTTTACAGCCCAGTTTAAGAGAAATCGTCGCCATTTCAAATAATAGCAAAAAAAAGACTTGCAGCAAAACAACCCGATACCCAGAGGTGATAGCTTAGGCTTGCCTAGTCTCCAGGCCTCATTTTTGCGCGCGGCCGATGTGTTTCGGGTCACGTGGTCCGAAAAACTTTTCATCGAAATGCATTGACTGAGAAGGCCTGGGAAGACGCCGCACAGGGACTAGGCAAGGCTTAGGCTCCGTCCACACGAATCCGGATATTTTCGAAACCGCATACTTTTTTACACGAATTGGCCATCAGTCCATACGTAACCAGTGAATCCGGACACCAACACCGCATTGTTTTGACACCGCTCTGCAGAGTCGGTCAAGACCACGTCCACACGATGAATCCGGATCAAAAGTAAGCGGTTTCAAACTGATTTCCACATTCGTGTTCACATGGCCTTAGACGGTAAATGTGGAATCACAATCACGTCTTTGGTAATGCCAAGGGAATGACAGTTTCAGGTTGCAGGCTGGAAAGTAGTTAAATTACTTTACTTTCTAACATTTCTGTATGCAAAAAGCAGCTTAGTTCTTTCTTCTGGTTCCAGCTGTTCTCAAGGTTGACAGCGCTATCAACCGAGAAAATCTATATCCAGTGGATACATATTAGGTAAACCAATTGGATTATCCACTAGATAGAGACAAGAGAGAATGAGCAATCTTTAGAGAGATTCATCCAGTTGATAGCGCTATACAACTTTTGAACAACCGGGGCCAGGGTGTTTACTTACCCCGCAAGGTTCTGCCACTTGAAGTGCAGTTTGGGTGTAGAAGAAGTACGTCCTCCCGGAGTTTTATTTTTTCTTTAAGTTTTCTTTTTTGTGGAATTTAACGAGCGCGGACGCGAGAGAAAAAGAGAAACTGCAACGTCTCTATTTTCTCATTTACTTAACCACCCCACCCACCTACTCAAGAAGCAAATAAATACACCCGGTTTTTTTTCTCCGTTCGCGCTTGACAATCTCTCAAGAGAAAATAGATGGTTTTCGAACGTAGAAGGAGAGGCTACTGAGCAGTAGCCTGCGTGAGGAGGTGCTGAAAATCTTAGAAGGAATATAGGCTTAAGAAAAAACGAGGCGTAACGGACCTGACTCGCGAGACCCGCGGGCGCCCCGTTGTTCTTGTGCCCATGTTTCCCTCAAGTGCAGGATAAAAACAGTTTCTTTTTTTTTTTTTTTTTGGGGGGTGGATTAACGATAATTAGCAAAATCCAACTAGTGGTCTATTATCAATGCTGCGTTCTGATTGTTTGAGCTACTACTAGGCTATATGTTATAGCCCACTAGTACCGAAAGGCGCGGGCTTTTTGGCGGCAAAAAAGGATTAAAGTCTAGCTTTTAACCAGCTAAAATTTTTTTATTCTCGATATTTTTGACCAACTAGTTGGATTTTACTAAAACAATTATTCCTCTCCTCCTCATGGCCACTGAGTCAATAGCCCATTTGGGCTCGAAGAATAATTGTCTAATAATAATTGTCTAGGAATAATCTGTTCAGGCGTTTTTCATTCCGTGATCAATATTTGTGTGATAACTGACTTCAACGAAAATATTTAACAATTATTCCTAGAGCCCAAAAGGGCCCTGAGCCAATAGCCCATGAGGCCAAAGGCCGAATGGGCTATTGATTCAGAGGCCATGAGGGCGAGAGGAATAATTGTTTTAGTAAAATCCAACTAGTTGGTAAAAAATATCGAGACAAAACAACTTTAGCTAATTAAAGCTAGACTTTAAATCCTTTTTTGCCGCCAAATAGCTGGCGGTTTTTGCTACTAGTGGGCTATAACCAACATATAGCCTAGTAGTGGCTCAACCAATCAGAATGCAGCATTGATCATAGACCACTAGTTGGGTATTACTAAAATGTGTTATATCATCTGTAATAGGAGCTACTTAAATTTTAAAGCCCAGTATTTTTTAATCAAAGTCAAATAAAGCTGTCCATGCAACCACTCTCGTAAGCAGCAAGCTTCAGTTATGACCAGCATCAAAATAAAACCTCATTTGAACTTTTGAACTTAAGCTCTGTAATGAGAAGCTCTTGTAAGCGATCACGACCACTTCTGTGAATTACCAGCTGGTCTCGGAAATGACCAGTCAGTTAACAGGGGGAAATGGGGTTGCTACTCCTTTATAACGCCCTACCGTAAACTGCCGCTTATAAATGCTGGGCTTAGAAATCTTCGTGAAGGGTTTTAGGAGCGCTTATAAACAAAAGGTTTTAAATTCGAAGGGGCTGACAACCAGAATAGAAAAAATGCTTTGGAACAAACTAGTAGCCTGCGAAAACATCCGTTTCTCCTCGCTCTTCGGCGCTAGGGAGGAACGTCTGCGACTCTGCGACAGAAATTCTATACTGATGACGTAAAATCTGTCCGGAATACAGTCAGAAGCGCTGATTGGTCGACGGAGTAGTTACATTGTTTTAGCTATTTTTTGCAAATGACAGACAAAAGACAAAAGGCCACAAAGGTCAAATGTAAACGTGAAGAATCTCTAACAAAACCGTCAATATTTGTGGAATATAGTCTTCTCTAGAAGAAGCATTTGAGTTTTGCTGGAGCTCGTTGACAGATAAGTACAACACTTTACCAAAATCGACCAGAAGACACGTAAAATTAGACAAATTTATATTTGGAACCCCATGACTATCGGATTTATTATGTAAACATTGATTTGCGTCATCAGTATGGAATTTCTGTCGCTGAGTCGCAGACGTTCCTCCGCGCGAAACATCCCTAGCGGTGAAGAGTGAGGACAAACGGATGTTTTCGCAGGCTAACAAACTAGCAGCACTGGTCAAATTTGTGCTGGTTTTTATTTTAAGCTTTAAAACGTCATAATAAATCCAATTCACTTTAGTACATTTGGAACAGAAGCTAGATGGGGCTTACATCCGGGGGGTTTATAATCGGATGTATTTTTTTGTTTACTGGTAAATGGGCCAATAACTGGGCAGCTTATAAGAGTCATTTTAAAGTATACGGGAAGGCTCCTACCATTTTAACACCTCAGGTATCTAAGATTTTCAGGGGCATAGCTGCCTGTTGGCAAGGTACGCAGGTGCGGTATCTAAAAAAGTCGAGGGTAAAAAAGTGAATAGTAAAAAAAAAAACAACAACAACAACAAAAAAAGGACGGTAAAATAGATAGAAGACAATTTTTTTTTCTGGAGAATTGTGTGTACTTATGAAAAAATCCTGGCTCCCCTGTAAAAGGTTTGAGATTTTATGATTTGAAGTACCATGATAGGATAGATTATTGGACATCCTCTTGACATGCTTTCCACAAATTAAACTATAAAATAGATTTTAAAAATACTTTCATCTACAAGTTATAAAATAATTTATATTATATATCATCTGGCATTAAAATAAATTATTTGGCAGAAATATTCCAGTATTCATCAGAATCATTCTGGACATCTTCAGGCATGCGCAGCAAAGTAATGACAACATTGTCATCTCGTCTTTGAAATAACATTTCACCCTCAAAGTCAACTAAATTTTGCTTCCGAGCTCTAAGCAACATACCAACAACTTTGTTGGAAATTCTTGTGTATCTTTCAAATAATCGCCCAAATGTAACTGTGACTGTTCCATCTGGCTGTTCTTCTCCCATTTGTAAGATGATGTTGCACAGTGCTTTAACTTCTTGACTTATGTGGGAACCAGCATATTTTCCACGAGCTTCAGTTTTAGAACCTGCCACAGGGCGACCATATTCTTTGCTGTGTCTGGGAGGTGCTGCCATGTTCCTGGGAAAGTAATTCCACAGGGAAGGCAAGTTGAGTCTGTGAAGGCAATATCAGGTATTACTGAAACTAAGTGGTTTCTCTTGAACTGTGATTGAGTCTTTGCAAGTATACACATACCAAGCAGGGGCAGTTCTAAGAATGTTGAATGGCTGCTGAATGCTAAGGGACCCTGAAGTTTATAATGATTTGGGTTTACTTAGAAAATTGAGAAAATTAAGTTCCAGTAAGGGTCATAATTCAGAACTGAACTGGAACTAAATTCTTTCAGTTTCTTAGACTACGAGTAGTCCCCTATTTTTCCTCAGGGATAGTAGAGCGAGCGAAACGCGAGCGCACGTGAAAATCACCCCACGCGAGAAAAGGCGACACGCCGCATGTCAACTTTTCTTGTGTGGGGTGATTTTCATGCGTGCTCGCGTTTCGCTTGCTCTACTATCCCTGAGGAAAAATGGGGGACTACTCGTTGTCTATCAGTTTCTTAATCCTAAGAGCTAAATTTCAGTGTCATTCATTGTTCAGCAGCCATTCAGTGTCCAGGATTATTTGGCATTCTGCAAAATACCCCTCTGGTCCATTTATAACTCCTTAATTTTTGAATTTTTGTCATTTTGAAGTCCAGAATTCAAAAATGGCACTGTTATTGATACAATCAATCTTTAAAAGCAGGAGCAGGGGGATATGTATAATTTTCAAAACCCTGGACTTGTCCTTTGTTTTAAGCTCTCATAAGTGACCACTCAGAGTCTTATTCATATTATATAAAGATTTAGCCAGGGCTAAAAGCGAAGCTCTCGATGATATTGAAAGTTTGTTCAAACAAAGTGTAAAATCGTTTTAAGCTAAGTGGCGAAGGCAATGCCCAAGAAAGGTGAAAAACAACAATAGTTCTAATTAGCAAAAAAGCAACTTTGCACATGCAGCCCACTTTTTTTGTACATTTCTTTGCTGTTGTTTTGCATGACTACAACAGGAAACTTCCAGAAACTTCTTAGACGTTTCAAGTTGTTTGGAGGAAATGTCGTATGTGTTCTCATTCACTTTTTTTTCACTGCCACTCATATTCACCTTGCATTGGTGGCCACTAGTATTTCTCATTTTGTCACCGCCACTACGTAACTTTCATGTTGTCCTTCAGACAAAAAAATGCCTCCTTTGTTTTTTTATCTCTCACTCTAGATCTCTGTAGCCCTTTTTCTCGTTGAGCTTCACTGGCCTGCTGCCTACTTTCTCTTTTTCTCTAGCTCTGTCTTTCTCTTGCTCTATATTCCAAATTTGTGGACACGACAAGCTACAGAAACAATTTCCAGTTTCCATTTTCATCTTTATTGAGCTTTAGTTTACAAGTCACGGGTGACTATGCGATTTCTCCCCAAAATAATCTCGAGTTGCATTTGGGTTCCCATACCTGTTGATTCAGTTATTTTACACTGGAAAGCCTGTGGTGAGAACGGACGGTTGGCAGTCAGTGTACGGTCACATGATTACCAAATTTTCTGGGATGGGTATATTTACTTACCCATGGTGTTCCACTGGCACTTGATTTGTGCACGCGAGAGTTTCACTATAAATCGACACAGGCTGATAAACACAAACTATGAGTTTTTAGATTTAAGGTTATTTTGGTCTGAATTTAAGCCGTGTCTATGTTTTCAGATATGAAGACACTAAGCATTAAGTTTTTTCTTTATGAATTATTAATGATTTTCTGAAGCTCTCATAAGCGACTAGTGCCCTCTATTGTACCATGCGGTCACTAACAAGAGCCCATTCTCATAAGCGACCAGCTCTATAGCTAGTTATGACCTCTTTTCCAAATTTCTGAGTTGGTCACTTACAAAAGCTTCGACTGTATGGCCTTTCCTGTATGATAAAGTACACTATCTGACAAAGCACTTGCCTTTCCTTTTACTTGAACAGGAACAAAAAAAAAAGAAAATTGACCTAAGATCATCATTGTATTTTAAATCCTTGACATTGAGGGGTATAGAATCGTAAATTCAAGACTTTGTGAGACTGTGAGAGCTTGGTTTCAAAATTCAACACCAAGACTTTGAAACCCAACAAAGATTTTGAGATTGAGCCAAAATTTTCAAGACCCATGTTACTCGAGTGACCATTCTATATCCTTACATTGTGGTGATTCAAGCAAGTTTCCAAAGGGAGAGGAGACACTTCACTGATGCAGTTATATAAAATGTGAGTCAAAGGTGAGACAAGATGACTGGCAACCATTTTGAGTGAACTTCATTGGTACACCCTCCAGACCACACGAGCAACGCCATCCATTGTAGCCATAGAGTTTTTACCCCCTCCTAGCTCCCTTAGGCCTCCCCTTCAAAACACAGGGAGCCCACACAATCTGTTTGAGTAGCCGATTGTTATTTTATTAATTTACCGTTTGCCTCACCTATACTGATATATCACTAACTTTGCATATAAATCAATGAAAAATAAATGTTGATAATTCGACCTTTATTTATCATTGATTTATATACATAGTTAGCGATATATCGGTATAGGTGAGGCAAACGGTAAATCCGGTACATTTACTATAAAATAACAATCGGCTACACAAACAGACTGTGTGGGCGCCCTGTGTTCAAAAGTGACCCCTAATTCACGTCTGTTTTACGGTATGGAAGGTAAATGAATTCCAGGACTTTGGTAAGTGATCGCTTAATAGAGGGTGACCGCTCAGTACAGGTTTGACTGTATGCCATATGTAAGAGCTTAAATGAAAAGGCAAAAATCTGAAAAATACTGATAGAAGAATTCCTCAGAACGAAGGGCCACAAAAACAAGCCCAGTGCAACTTAAAATGCAAGAGGTTCACTTACTTTGTTATAGATGTTTGCACTACTGTTGGGCGAGTGTCATCCTTCATGAAATGCTAAACAGATATTGGTCTTCTTTTGAAGCCACCAGCGGCCGCCATCTTTGTTGTTTACACGGGGCGCAGGGTAACATGGGAGGAGCCCCATGGATAGTGAGAGCGAGCGAAACGCGAACGCGCGTGAAAATCACCCCACGCGAGAACGCGTATCGCTTTTTCTTGCGTGGGGTGATTTTCACGCGCGCGCTCCCGGGGGCTACTCGTAGTCGAAGTCCAAAAAAATTAATTTGGAAGACAATAGGCTCTTTGCATGACTTGATCACGTGATCAACTTTCGGTAAAGACGAAAACAGTTCACTTTTGAAAAATTTTGTTAGCACAAGCTGAAAGAGCATACGAAAAATCGGTAACTCACACAACCTGAAAATTAATTATCTCAAAATTAATTATCTCAAAAGTAATGTTTGCAACGGGCGCCGAAAGTTGGATTCATTTGTATGAGAAAAACAACTCTTACAGTGACGTCATCAGATTGCAAAGTCAACAAAACGAGGTTTTACGAAACCTTTTTTACGCTAGGTTGAAGATGAATAGAAAATAAATCTTTGTACAAGTTTCCAGCCCCGAAGCATGTTTCATTTGGAAAACAAGAATCGCCGAAAGGCGATTTTTAACTGGGCTGCCAAGGGGCCATTTTTTCTGAGGGGAGGGGGCGGCTATACACACTCAGGCTACCATAAAACCTTGTCGGCAACCATTGCATGCGACAGAACCTCATGTGAGACTGAAACATAAACTCATTCAAAACATTGTACCCTTTTGAAAGACTTTCGTAACCCAAAAAAAGAGTACCATTTTTAAGTGGGGGCTGTATAATAACTTTTAAATTCCACCACTATGAATAAAAATAGACAAGTTAGTCATTAATTCTAAGCAGGAAACAATTTGCATTATTTCCACGTACCCCTCCCCTAATCCCTCTGTGCCCCAAAATATAGCGTGACAGTATAACGTGACGTAACTGGAAATTCCAAAAATTGTTGTCGTTTTACGAGTATAATGAGCTGATTTACACTAGACAGAAATATTGTATTATATGAAAACCAGAAGTATACTAAAACAGACAGTTAACTGCCCATTGATCCCGCCTGATCCAGGGGCCTCACTGACTGCACGGAGACTTTACTGCGCTTTTCACAAACATGCGAACTCTAAAGTTCAAAAGCCACCTTCACAATTGTGTTTATCGCTGCCGTCAATCATAATTACGATCAAAAGCAACGAACCTTGAAACAGAGAAACACACAAAACGGATCGAAATCCACAAATCACAAACCATGACCTTTTGAACCCGTGAAGTAGAGTTTTGTTTCCTAAGAGGTCCGCTAAGATGATTGACAGCAGCGAAAAACGCAATCGTCGGTTGGCTTCTGAACTTTGGAATTCGCATGTTTGTGAAAAGTGCGATAGTCTACAAGAAAACGCACTATTTTTAACACAAGAAGAAAAATATTCAGTTTTAAGATTTTCCTCATGGTATTTTTCTCTAACTTAAAGGAATAAAATCCTTTGCATTTTGAGACCTAAAAAAGTTTAAAGACTTCTCGCTCGCATGTTGCGTTCACCAGCACGCACTTCAAACAATGTAAATAGATGAAACGATCGATAACATATTTTTTACCTGATACCGATGCGAGTTAAAAATTCGCTCCAGTTCTGTTTGTCTCACCCAAGACGAACTTTTCTTCATGGAAGATAACTATGCCGCTTTATAACTCGTCCGAAGTTTTTGTGCCAGCTAAACAATATGGAAACACTATTCACAGTGACTTCTTGGATATTAAAAAGACTGAACGTGACGCACTATTATGCCTTTGTTTACTTTTGATCACATCTTCAAGCGAAGTCTCTCTTTTCAAGCGATTCATCTCAATGCACAATAATTGACCCTTATATTAGTTAAAACCCTATGGTTCATTTATATTAATGCTGTTTTTGCCCCTCACATTGACTGTGTTCGTTCGTATTCAAAACACCTTTACGAAAATAAAGGTCGTATAAGTCATGTGTGTTATGTTTCGAGATAAATGGATTATACGCTTTTTTAAGTTTCCATTTTGCGGTGACTTCAGTTAACATCTTCATAAAATGGTAAAAGAAATATCAAGAAACATCACGAGAGCTAAAAAACTTTCAAAGGCACGTTTCTGAAACTCGCTAATGCTGACATCAATATAGCGTGCTTGCTGAATGGGCGAAAACACAGAATTGTGATCACAAGATCATGTACAAATTTAATGATAAAAGCTTAGCAAGATACAAATACAAACAAAAGCAAACCCCCTGAAACCTCGACGTGGGCTACACTTGTATGCTCTACTCAGTCACCAAACCTTGTCAGTAATAGCTCCTATTTTCTTCAAGTCGCTCTCTGTGAAGCTCCCGGATGGGATGTTCCGGTGAAGCTTTAAACTTGTGCATTGTGCGTTGCCTGCGTGCAGACGTCTCCTATTTCCGTGCAACAAAGGAAGTAGGAGATGTCTGCACGCAGGCAACATTGTGCGCGAAATTCTCAGAGTCCCTATTTTTGTCCGTGTCTTCTTTATCCTCAGTATCCGAAATTTAGACCTCCAAAGTGGCGTGTGTTGCATTTAATAGAAGGAAATATTTAAAGGAAAAGCCAGTCTTCTAACATGGCAAAGTTGTCACGTCCCTCGCTTATAGACGTGCGTAGTGCCATTCATCGGCAACTGAGTTGTTCGCTTCACTGACTACGAAGGCTTACAATCAAGTCTTCAGCCATAGTGTCGTCAACTGGTGAAATACCTTGCTCATAAATTGTGCTTCTTAATTGCTCACGTACTACATCGATCGATAATTCTCTCTTTGAGTTCACGAAGCGGCCACGGCGTTCCAAACCTGACGCTCACAGTCATCTTTTGGTGTGAACCTACCGCGAACAGCGTGTCGGTTTGAATGCAACGCGAGCATTTCTCTGAGTTTCCCAGCGCCAACATCATCTAACTGACTTAAACTCGAACAATAAAAAAATTATAGAGTGACTCCCATGATCGAATCGCTTCGAACATCGTAAATAGCCTTCTTCAGGTTCGCAACGCTTTGTGGGTTTTTCAGGGGGAACACAGACGAGGTACAAAAAGTATCCGTGCAAGGGTTCGTGCAAGAGAAACTCATATGAAACCATTTGTGAGAACATCGTTTCTCGGTACCAGACCCTCGTGTCTACCCTCCCCCGGGAGACCACTTTTTGACACCGACGACCGAAAGCCCATTTTATGACTGGGCGCACAGGCAGCCCAGTAATAATTTGAACTTCCGAGTTTCACAGTGCGTGACACCAAAATAGGAATGATGTCTCATTGAAAAAAGTCTCTCCTCTTGATTTTCAGCAGTTTAACCATTTCAAGTATTAAAAAATGTGTTTATGCGCACGTATGCTAGCTCTCGAGTGAAAAGGACGAGCCTTTATAGAGAAAGTGAATTCCAGATGTTTTTGTTGATTTCCTGCGGCCCTATTGGTAATATGGCGTTTCCATGCTCTACAAAGGTGCGTGAAATGTTTCGGCAAATAACTCAGAAACTGTGGGCCTGAGATTTGGACAAATTGTCTACATATTAGTCTTCTATAACATTTCATTTTCTTTGAAATTGACAGGGTAAATTATTTGGAACAGTGCAATGTTGTAAATGATATGCTCTACAAGGCGAAAGAACAGCATTATTCAGCAGTTATTCAGGAAAATGCCCATGATAGTAAATTACTTTTTCGCACAGTTGATAAATTACTGCAAACGAGTATAGACAAAAGACATCCGTCTGCGAACAGTGACCAAGAACTCGCAAATGCCTTTGCTGATTTCTTTATAGTGCCAAGATTGTGCGAATTTGTGATGAGTTGCTGGTTAGAAAAGAGCGGGAGTGGGGGAGTGCACTATGGAGGATTTCGAGTGTACGTCATGCTTTAGCAAGTTCACAATGGTAACAGATGAAGACGTCTTAGGGTTGATTAGGGGTTCAACTATTAAGGCATGCGCACTGGATCCACCTCCAGCGAGTATCATGCGGAAATGCTATTCTAGTCTTGTCCCTATAGTTAGAAGGGTGATTAATTTGTCATTGTCATCTGGATTGCTGCCCAAGGAACTTAAGGTAGCGCTGCTATCACCTATTCTTAAGAAATTAAATGCAGACTTTGAGCAGTTCAGTAATTTTCGCCCTGTTTCAAATTTAAAGTTCCTATCTAATTAAATTGATAAGGAAAACAGTGTTTGGGCAATTGAATAGCTATCTTGGCGAAAATGATCTACACGAGCCTCTTCAATCAGCGTACAAGATTTTTCACAGCACCGAGACTGTACTTCTTACTGTTACAAATGACATTTTGCTGTCATTGGATAAAGGCGAGAATGTTTTCCTTGTTTTATTGGGATCTGTCGGCAGCATTTGATACCATTAACCATTCCTTACTGCTGGCACGACTGCAGAAATCATTTGGTATCAGAGGAACTGTACTGCAATGGTTCGATTCTTATCTTTCTCAAAGAACTCAGTTTGTTAACATCAATGAGGCGAATTCTACGGTACGAGATCTTCCCGTGGGTGTTCCCAAAGGTTCAGTTCTGGGACCTGTACTCTACCTTCTGTATACTGCGCCACTTGCTAAAGTGATAAGATCTTATGGCTTGGATTATCATCTATACGCCGACGATACTCAGTTATACTTTGCCTTGAAATCGGTGGATGTGGACGCTACTAAATCGAGGGTCGAGAACTGCATTTCTGCAATATGTCGCTGGATGGATCTCAACGAATTGAAGCTAAACCACGAGAAGACGGAGGTCATGCACATCCACTCAAAGTATCATCCCTCTCCATCCTTTCACTCCTTATGTGTTGGTGATGAGAGCGTGGCTGCCTCTCACTCGGCTAGGAGTCTTGGTGTTATCTTTGATGAACACATGTCTTTTCATGCACATGTGTCTAGCATCTGTAGATCATCATTTTATCATCTCAGGAACCTATCTAGAATTAGGAAGTATTTCACTAAAGAATCAGCAGAAGTTGCTGTTCATGCATTTGTCACATCGCAACTAGAT